GTTTCCATAGCCTCTCATATGGGTATACACTTGTGTTTTCACAGTAGCCAGGATCTATCCTTGATCTTTCCACCTCTGTAAGGCTGATCCAGCTTACTAACATCCTTACATGTTGCGCTTTTCATTTGGCTTCAAGATATATATATATATATATATTTATTTATTTAAGGAGCTACATCATGCTAACCATATTACTAAGGGACATTGACACTCATAACCTATCATATAAATGCAACACAACAAGCAAGTACAATGATTACAGAAAATTACACTTTGTGTAATTATACTCATATTACAGTTGTGAGTCCAGTGAATTGCCAGCTTCTTGATTGTTATGGACATTATAGTTGAAATATTTTGTGCAGCAAGGAAATATGCTGGAAGAGAAAATGGTGTATTGATAGGCTAATTACTTTTTCCTCTGGGATTTACAACAAACGGAATAATGTATGTTTGCATTGATCCCACAGAAGCGTAGGCTTTTGTGAACATGGAATCTGGAATAATGCCTTTGAGACTAGTATAAATCACACGTGAAGGTTAATCTGATTTGTTTACGGTTCTATAGCATACTGTATCAATGTTAATGCTGCCATTTGAGTGTGGGGTTTCCTGGTGTGCCCTTAAATTCTCTAGAGGCTCCTTTCCATAACCTTGCAGGTATGTTAACTTTTAGATAGAAATATCAATAGCAGAACACAAATGTCACTTCTAAGCACTTATACTTGACGACACCATATCTGATACAGATGTGAATTTATCATACAGGGCTACTGACAATGCATACATATAGATTAAGTGTGCAATGCATTGCACATAAAAATACAAATTAAAAAGTAGTAAAGAAGTATAAAGAATAAATGTAAAAAAATATATATATATATAAAATATATATATATATATATATATATATAAATAAAACATACAAGATCCAGCGCACACTCGCTCATTCACTAAACAGCAATTTCAAGTGTCACAGAATTTAATAGTCTTTTTAAAAAAACACCTCACCTAGGCAAAAAATAATGGGGGTTTAGTTACATTATATGATCATATATTGCATAAGCCTGCCACAACGTCAATGTGCCCCATTCTTGGCAGGTCCCACTCTAGCACCTAATGCCTGCTCTTATGAGATTAATCCACTTACTTGGTAAAATCTTCCCCCTTAACTCTCTGCAGGTCAAGGTATATATATATTCAAAATTATTCAACCCCTATTGAAAAGCAGGTTTATGTCAAAATTTGGCTGTCTTTTGGCTGTAATGAACAGATCAAACAAAAACAATAACTCAACACAACAAATTCTTCAAGTGGTTTACACAAATTTAACTGAAAATGCAACTTATAATAACTTCTCCAGGCTCAATAATATTCAATCCCTTCATGGCAAGCAACTTTAGTACTTAGTACAGCACCCTTTTGCTGTTATGACCAGCTGCATGAGATGCATAGTCAGATATCACCTTCCAGCAGGATTCCTGAGGACTCTTGAGCAATGGCTCCAGTTCAGTAGTATTCTTGGGCTTGTGTGCTGCAACTGCCTTCTTCAAATTCCACTAGACATTTTCTGTAGAATTTTCCAGGACATGTTATGCAATCAAACCTTGGTGGAATTTGAGTTATGCTTGGGATCATTGTCTTGTTGGAAGATCCAATGAGGCCCAAGCTTCAGCTTCCTCACAGACGGCATGGCATTTTGTTTCCTTAGGTTTTCCTAAAACTTCAATTAATTTACCATGCCTTCCACAAGCTGCAGGTTTCCAGGGCCAGAGGATGCAAAGCAGCCCCAGAGAATCACTGAGCCACCACCATGCTTAACTGTAGGTAGAGTGTTCTTTTCAGAGTATGCTTCATTCTTCTTCCTCCAGACATACTGCTGATCCATTGGGCCAAAAAGTTTCAGTTTTGTTTCATCGCTCCACAGAACAGAATCCCTAATTTTCTGTGGCTTATTTATATAATTTGGAGCATATTGGAGCTGACTTTTATTGTGCTTTTGGGTCAGAAGTGGTGTACGTCTTGGAGTTCTGGCATGGAGGCCTGCATTTAGTATGTGCCTTACTGTGCTCACTGAAACCTCTGTGTCTGTTACCACCAAGTGTTGCTGCTGAGGGTTTTTCACAACCTGCCTTCTCGAAAATCTGGTTGCAGCCATTGATAGCTTCCTTTTTCCGCCTGGTCCAAGTAGTTTAACCACTGTTCCTTCAACTTTGAACTTGCGAACTATGCTTCCAAAAGCATCTCTAGGAACATTCAGTGCGTTCGCTATCTTTTAGTATCCTGTTCCTTGCTTGTGAAGGGGGCGATGATCTCTGTTCTTAACTTTGTGGACCATTCTTTTAACTTAGCCATATTTCTAACATGCAGTCAAACGTGACACTTAACATGCCCGTAGGCAGTTCAGGCATTTCAAGTGTTCCAGCCCTTGATTAGTTGCATCAGGTGTGCTTGAGAAAACACTTGTTTTACCTTTTTGTGCTGTTGTGAGGGATTCTATTCAGGTGGTTGAATATTTTTTGAGACAGGGTAAGTCATTATAAGTTGCATTTTTATTTTAATTTGGGGAAACCATTTGAAGCATTCATTGTGTTGAGCTATTGCAATAGTTTTTGTTTGATTTGTTCATTGCAAACAGCTGAAGGTCTGTAAATTTTGACAATAGACCTGATTTTTAATGGGGGTTGAATAATTTTGATTACAACTGTATATTTACACACACACACAACATTCAATATTTTTAATCCTTTTTTTCAATTTACATTACATTTCTATAGGGAAGTATTTTAGAAGTTGGTCCCTTTTGTCTTGGAGGATAGAATTCAAATACAAAACTCCTGATAACTTTTCTTTTGGGAGTTTTTTTTCACACTAAATCTCCCTACAAGTACATCCATTCTTGCATTGTTTCCATATTTTTCTTATGTTTTAATCATTTTCTTATAGGAAATAGCTGCCAAGGGTTTTTTTTATACCAGAATATTTTACATCTCTTACTGACACATCTGTATAAAATATTTGTGTAACAACGGTATTTCATTTGGTCTATCTCAGATGTGCACAAGAAAGCAATTGCTGAAACAGCAAGTCTCCTCATTTGCATCCCTGTGCCTAGATTCTTTGATTGATGGTGAATTTTGCAAACATTCCGATGGAAGAGCTTTAGGATACACTTCTATATTTCATCCTTTTATCTATCCTGAAGTTTTACAGTGAGAGGATGATACATTAATAATAAGATAGTATTACACTCACATATGATCTGAAAATGATGGAATATGACATATGTACTTAGAAAGAAAACAAGCAAATATATTAACCAAAAAATGCTAATAATTGGTAAAAATAAATAATTGGACTACTTACTCCTCTCAGTTACTCATCTAGGTGTATTATTATTTTTTTTAAACATTATTTCAGTTAATCTCAGTTACTCATGTAGGTGTATTATTATTATTATTATTATTATTATTATTATTATTTTTAACATTACTTTATTAAAGGACCACTATAAGCACCCAGACCACTTCAGCTCAATGAAGTGGTCTGGGTGCCAGGTCAATCTAGGATTAACCCTGCTTGCTGTAAACATAGCAGTTTCAGAGAAACTGCTATGTTTACTTTAGAGTTAATCCAGTGTCCAGTGGCTGTCTCATTGACAGCCGCTAGAGGCGCTTCCGCGCTTCTCACTGTGCTTCTCAATGCTTTCCTATGGACTGGCTGAATGCGCGCGGCTCTTGCCGCGCATGCGCATTCAGCTGATGACGATTGAAGGAGGAGGAGAGTCCCCGGTGCTGGAGAAAGGTGAGTGTTTAGCCCCCTTCCTCCCCCTTCAGCCCGGCGGGAGTGGGACCCTGAGGGTGGGGGCACCCTCAGGGCACTATAGTGCCAGGAAAACGAGTTTCTTTTCCAGGCACTATAGTGGTCCTTTAATGGAATGGAAGAAGCTTTTTTTTTATATCTCCTATTTTCTGTATTATGCTCATCATTTTTCAGAATACTCCCTGAAACAATCAGTAGGGGATTCATCACTGCTTGACTGGTCCTTTGATTTAACTTTCTGGTCCTTTGATTTAACTTTCTGATTAAGTGGTTTTCTCTTCACTTCTGGTTTTAGAACACTAATCACAGGGATTGTGTGACTGGGGTCAAAAGGTTGTTACACTTAAGGGTTTAAATAAAGGGGGAGGGTTGGGCATTTTTATATAAAATTTATTTTTGATTCATACATAGAAACATAGAATGTGACGGTAGTGACGGCTAGTCTGCCCAATTTTCTAAATACTTTCATTAGTCCCTAGCCTTATCTTATAGTTAGTATAGCCTTATGCCTATCCCACGCATGCTTAAACTCCTTTACTGTGTTAACCTCTACCACTTCAGCTGGAAGGCTATTCCATGCATCCACTACCCTCTCAGTAAAGTAATACTTCCTGATATTATTTTTAAACCTTTGTCCCTCTAATTTAAGACTATGTCCTCTTGTTGTGGTAGTTTTTCAAATAATGGGTAAACAGATCATGAAACCAGAGCATATACCAGCACAACAAGCTATGATTTATTTTTTTAAACATAATATGTATGCTCAAGACTCCCAACAAAAACGTCCAAAATAACTGAACCTTGTCTAAACATTTTGCTGCAAGGTAGACCTAATCTAAGGTCACTGTATACTGGATGTATTTAAACGTCATAGATTTTTGTGCCCAGTGAAAATTTAAGTGACAGAAGAAAGAAAGAAACCCGACGTGCTTTTCGGTGCCTCAGTAGTGCACCTTAAAGCCCCTGACGAAGGTGCACTACCGAGGCACCGAAACGCGCGTCGGGTTTCTTTTTTTCTTCTGTCACTTAAATTTTCACTGGGAACTCTTTCGATATGTGCAGGCAACCAACATTCTAAGTATGGTTCGGCACATTAGCACACTTTAATTTCTATATATATATTTTTTTCACCTCCTTACTGGTTTTGAAACTTTTTTTATGAAGTGAATCATTTAAGGCTGATATAGAGGTAGGAAGGGCTGTAGTACGTTCAGTCTTGAATTACATTCCGCGGCAGGATAGAGACATTTTGTCTAAGTTGTATAATTTATTCAACTGTAGCAACTTAATTCTCTAGCTACGCTTTGCGCGTTTTGTAGTTCTGTTCCCACACAAGCCTATGGTTTCACTCATCATATTAGTCTATCTGTGCTCTGAGACTTACTAGGTAGTTTCTCTCTGGTTTAGAGACCTTACAACCAAGCTACCGATAGCTTTTCAGATATAGAGCTAGCATGTGGCTCTTGACCAGTTCGCTAGATATATGTACATATATATGTTTTTCTATTTTTGGGATATGATGGTTCAATCCCTAGCTTTCAGACCTTGACCCCATGAGATAAATTAAAGTCTATAGTCTGTAGCACATTCTTTCGACCTTGGAATTTGGAGGTGAGCCATTAGGCAAGATTGTTTTGTATTCTGACTTTTAGAAATGGGTATTAACAATATACTGTCATCATTTCTTTATTTATCAAGTATTTAACATCTTTATTACGAGTTTCCACTTCATATTCTAGTGTCTGGATATTTTATCCAGTAGCGGGAGTATTACATTGTGTATAAATGCACCTACTTTTAACCAACTTATTTTTTAACCTACAAGCTAAGCTGCAACAATATTGTGTATAAATGCACCCTACTTTGAATAAACAAGCAGAAGTAATTCTGGACTCACAACCATCTGTGTCGTGTGTTTATTGCTTTTCCAAGCGCTTGTTGCCAATTTGGAGTCTCCTGAATATAAGAGGTGACCAGCCTTTGATGGTCCATGACAACATCGAACTTATGTTTGTCACTCTGGAAATGGATCACCACTACACTACATGAGTACATGGAAGATTCCATTCAGTCCCACTGTCTTTTGGACTTACCCTCTTTGATCAAGACAGCAGTACTGGTCTTAAAACCATATGAAGTACTGCCCACTACAATTTGTATGGCTCAGTTTGTATGGTTGCCTTACTTGAATCTTTTTCTCTTTTCTTGTTGATGCAGCTGTGGAAGGTTATTTGCCAGCATAGGATTGATAAACTGGTTGAGGTGTGTGCATTGGGAAGGGCAACACTCATAGGCAACACGTAACACAAAGCCATAAGCAAATTTATTGCCAATGGCAAAGGGGGCAAGTGTAAACCTCTTAAAGGCACAGTAGTACCCTGCTTAAGCCAACACATGGATGTAACCCGATATAGGAACTGGTAACCGTTAAGCCCCTGAGGAGTGCAGATGATGGAGAAGACAGGAGCCTATCCCATTAGACACCTGCAGCCGCCCCTGGCTATGTTACTCCTTATGGTATAACTCCCCCTCCCCTTGAGACCCCAGAGAGTAAACCACTCACTAGCCCCATACCTCACCTTTAAGCCTCTACTAAATCATCAAGCCTCCCCAAAAACGATGCACACTAGACGCTGCACACTAGACGTAGTAAGACCAAAACAGGCACAGTCACATAGATGCAGGGCTCTGCAGGGCGGGGCAAGGCTTATAAAGCCTTGCCCCGCCCTGCAATTAAGCTCAGAGCACGCTGATTGGTGGGTTTAAGCCATCCAATCAGAGTGCTCTGACAGGTAAATGAAGAGACTGACAGGGAAGTCTCTACATTTACCTGTCACAGCAATCTGATTGGTTGGCTTGAAATCCACCAATCAGAGTGCTCTGTGTCATTTTATACAGCGTGGGAAAGTTCTTTGGAATTTTCCCATGCTGTTTAATTTGACTCATAACTCTCTGATTGGTTACTTAATCCACCAATCAGAGTGTTATGAGTCAAATTACACAGCGTGGGAAAATTCCAAAGAACTTTCCCACGCTGTGTAAAATGACACAGAGCACTCTGATTGGTGCATTTCAAGCTAACCAATCAGAGTGCTGTGACAGGTAAATGTAGAGACTTACCTGTCAGTCTCTTCATTTACCTGTCAGAGGACTCTGATTGGATGGCTTAAGCCCACCAATCAGAGTGCTCTGAGCCTAATTGCAGGGCAGGGCACTGCTTTATAAGCCTTCCCCCGACCTGCAGAACTCAGTCTGCGCGGAGCCCTCCATGGGTGAAGATGGATAATTTTTATTTTATTTTATTTTATTTATTTTTTTAAGTGCGTCGGTTATTATGACTTTTTATTTGGCCTTTTTTGGGGCTGAAAAAAAAGATTTTAGAAGAAAGAAAACATCAAATGGTAAGTTTTATTTTATTTTTTTACAGGTACTTAGTTAAATGGTCCCCCCTCATTATTTTTAGGGTGAGGGGGGTAGGTAGGGGTTAATTTTTGGGGGGCTACAAAGTTAATTACAATAAATCGGTGGCCATGCCCTTTCACCTAGCAACCCTAGATAGGGTACTCATGCGCAGCCAATACCACTTAAAAATAGACACGGAATGTGGCAAAACTAACCTCGCCACTGGGTTATGGAGAAACCTGATTGCTAGCCTCCTGCCTCATGCCTATGGCCCCTCTCATCAGCTCATGCTAAACTTAAACCCCATGGCGATTTGACTGTGTTTGTGGGATCCGAGTGCTGTTTGGATATATTGATCGCTCAGATCCAAGCCATCTGGGGATAGGTTGAATGTGGGGGTTCTGTTGAGTATGATAGGAATTATGTATTTTTGTGTATTTTTGCTGTTGTCAATAGAAATATTTTTTGTACCTGGAGATAGTTGGCTTACCACACCCAGTTAAGCCAGTTATCTCCAGGATAGAGGACTCTGTGGAAGTGGTTTGGGCTGGAAAAGCCATGCTTCAGTGGTCACAAAGGACTTTCGACCTAACTTTTAAACCACTGGAGGGAATTGTCTGATTTTTGAGTATGTTTGTATTTGGAAAAATAAATAAAGGAAAAGAGACAGCGCCAGACAACCTGTAAGGCAGCAACCCAACAAGGGAATCCCCCCAAAACCCTAAAATACAGGATAAAAGCAAAATATAAAAGGAGGGCTGCGCCAGAATAAACAGTGTCCAGTATCAATAGTTATTGAAGATAAAAAGTCCGACCTAAAAAGGTATCCTCTCTGTCGTCTTAGGTACAGGAACGCGATCTTCAGGTAATATATAAAAGATAAAAGGAGAGAACAAACGATGGTGCAGAATGTACGGTTCAAATGAAGTAAAAATTGATTAATGATAACGAACTCACAATTTCCAGAGCTTCTGTCCAGCTCTAGGGTAAAGCGCACACAGCGGTATAATCCCCGCTTATGGGATTTATGATGGGTTCGTCAGGGTATCCAAAACTCAAAGGAAACAGAAACAGCCAAATAGTGCTCTCTAAAACCAAGACAATGAGTGAGCGCTGAATAACACAGATGAGCAGCAACCCTAAAAGGGAATCCCTCAAAAACCCTTTAGGATAAAACACAAAAAATACAAAGAAGGGCTGCGCTTAGATAAAAAGTATAAAAGTCCAGATAAAATAAATAAATAAGGGAGAGAAGGTCTTATCTTGCAATGTCCGTAGTGCTTAGTCCGAAACAATAATCTTGCTTTCTGTCTTCCTTGCGGAATATCCAAGAGCTAGAACCTGCTCTGGTATAGAAGGCGTACAGCGGTTTAGATCCCCGCTTATGGGATATGGGATGGTTATCCTTCACGTATTTCCTCCTTCCGTTGGTGTAAGAAATGCTCAAATAAAATAAAAAGAGACAGCCAATAGTGTTCTCTGCGTAAAATTAAAATAGAATATAAAATAAAATAAAAATGGGTACTCACAAGACAGGAGCAGGTCAACTGCTCCTGGTATTTCGCACTGGTGGAATAATCCCCACCTAGGATTGCTTGGAGTCCAGGGAGTAATGCCAGGTAAAAATAATGCCAGGTAAAAATAATAATAATTATATGTGTATAAAAAGATAAGTAGTACAATAAAAGATTATAAAATATACTTTAATTGTAACATTACACAATATAAAAAAACCATAAACGCGTTTCGCCAATCGGCGTTATCAATATGGGTAAAGAACCTGATACCTGGCAGTAGATCATTTAAATAGCATATACAATTAGTTCAAAAATTGGCGCCAAAATTTGGGCAGCCAATCAAATTGCAGTAAGAAATTACATTCAATAAAACACTAATAAAACATAATTTATAACATGCATAAAAATAAGAACTAAAAAACTATGTACATCATATAGTTAAACTCTAGAAACGATCAATAGTTGATGCAAAAAAGACTATGTGATGCACGGTCACATGACCGGCATCGAAACCAAAGGGAATTGTGGGAAATGTATTTCGACGCCGGCCGGCACTGCGCAGCCGCCGGCGCCGTAAGGGGGAACTGGTAGCTGGCGTCTGGACGCAGCCGCTCGCATAGACGGTGCGTCCAGACGTCAGTGGGCGGGACAAAAAGCGGACGTGCTGACGACGGCGGCACGCACACAACAGAAGCCGCCGTCGTCAGGAAGTAAATAGACGACGGCTCACACAACGCTGTGGCCGTCGTCATGGAGATAGGACACAACAGAGCCGGCTATGGCCAAATAGAAGAGGGGGGAAAAATAAATAAAAAATATATACAGAATAAAAAGAATATGCTGTAAAATAGATGAAAAAATAGTGGTAATAAATGAAATAAATAAAAGCGAAATGATAAGGGGCAGCAGATAAAAATAACAAGAAATAGCAGATAAAAATTATCATTGACATCATGCCAACTCTGCTAAATAGTAAGGGCAGGCATGGTGAGTAAATAAATAAGTGGAATAAAATGGTATAAAAACATATATTAAATGCTCTTACTTACAGGAAATTGAACAAATCAAAATCAACATTCAGGCCATAAGGTGCGAGAGTTTGGTTTTTATACCATTTTATTCCACTTATTTATTTACTCACCATGCCTGCCCTTACTATTTAGCAGAGTTGGCATGATGTCAATGATGATTTTTATCTGCTATTTCTTGTTATTTTTATCTGCTGCCCCTTATCATTTCGCTTTTATTTATTTCATTTATTACCACTATTTTTTCATCTATTTTACAGCATATTCTTTTTATTCTGTATATATTTTTTATTTATTTTTCCCCCCTCTTCTATTTGGCCATAGCCGGCTCTGTTGTGTCCTATCTCCATGACGACGGCCACAGCGTTGTGTGAGCCGTCTATTTACTTCCTGACGACGGCGGCTTCTGTTGTGTGCGTGCCGCCGTCGTCAGCACGTCCGCTTTTCGTCCCGCCCACTGACGTCTGGACGCACGGTCTATGCGAGCGGCTGCGTCCAGACGCCAGCTACCAGTTCCCCCTTACGGCGGCTGCGCAGTGCCGGCCGGCGTCGAAATACATATCCCACAATTCCCTTTGGTTTCGATGCCGGTCATGTGACCGTGCATCACATAGTCTTTTTTGCATCAACTATTGATCGTTTCTAGAGTTTAACTATATGATGTACATAGTTTTTTA